GCATTCACTGAGTGAATGTTGTGTGAAAGGGTGTAATGTGGCCACGTAGTGTAAAAGCTCGGCTTGAGTGGTTTCGGTAAGAAGCTAGAAAGGCGTGCTATATCAAGTAGCTGGTCGCATTTAGCCATTTACATACGCTTTTAATCTTTTGTAGCTTTCCGTACGTAAATAGTATGCCATTTTTCATATTTAAAGTTGTTATAGCAGACACAGTGCCCCAAATTAAAAATTTTGCTTCACTTAGGATGTTTTTATACTACACTATAAACTGTGTTGAGAGTCAAAATGACAAAATGATAGCACCTGATTTTCATCTTTGCTGTTGATTATCACAGCCTTCAGCTACAGACACATCACGGATGTGACAGGTGCCCGTGGTCCTGCCCACAGTGAGTCACAGCAGACTGATTCAGACCAAGCAGTGTGGAAACAGACTCAGATCCCCAAGAATGAGCTGCTGTTTTATCAGCAGCTTCCCCATTTAAAAGTCACCTTCTTCACCTCTTCTCAGCCTCGCCTCACCTCAGGCTGATGAAGCAGGACAGCAGATCTACTGCTGGCTGATATCCATCTATGTTGGAGCGTGGGGGTTCATACCCATCTTCAATTACGTCCCATAAATGTCAGGCTGCCTCTCCAGTCCCTGCCTCGGTTAGCGCTTGGCCTCGCGGGGGCATCCGCTCTGACGTGAGAAGAATCGGACCGAAGCCATTTCCATACACAAGTGTGAGCGTTCATTAAGTGTGTGTCTTATCGAGAAGTGAGACGATAAGCTGGCAGCAGACGGTCCTCCAAGGCGGAGCGTGATGGAGCAATTAAGATGATAGTCAATTAGACCACGCTGCTAATTGACTCATGATTAAAGCCAGAGCTGATTAATAAAGTGAAGCTCTCTTCTTCTTGGCCTTGATAGGGAGGGGGTGTGATAGAGAGCCTGTATGTGGTGATGCATAGAAATGAACAGAAGAACAGCTGGACCCTTTTGTCACACTGTATGCTGGATAGCTTAGCACTTAGCAGTGTTCAAGTACAGCTGCCAAACTGCCTTTTCAATTTGTGTTTTTTCAACAGTCTGTGCAACTAAAGATGAAGTTCTTAAAGGGGAAACAACTGCCCGATTTTGAACTAATTTTTATTTTATTACAGCAGGGGTCTCACACTCAAATTGGCTTGGGGCCTCTACTGGTATTGTCATCTCATACGAGTTCAAGTTCTACAAAAAATCACATTCATTTAGATTACTAACATCATACATAACAAAAAAGTGCAAACAGCAGTTTCTTTACATTTTTATATAATTGATATTATTTCATCATTGTTATTATATAATAATTATATAGTATATATAATGGACAGAGGTTCCAGGGTCTGCGAAGTGAAGCCAACACTGAAGTGTCTTGCAAACCTGCATTCTATGTAAAGGCCAGCAGGGGGAGCTCCATTGGCCTTAATAAAAAAGTCTTATGGAGAAATGAGCCGACTTCTCACTTCATTTATGAGCTCAGTAAACAGTGTCCTAACAAATTTATGACCTATGATAGTAGGGAAAGATATTTTGGTAGGCAGGGCTTGCCAAATGGCCCTTGCCACACTTTGTTAGTGACTGAAAAATCTGCTTTCTTCCATGCAGCTTTCTTCTCTGGAGGTGCTCTTTTTCCTGCAGTTCCTGCAAATTACCTGTAGGTGTTAATGGTGAGTTAGTAAAAGCAGCACCTCGAACTGTCTGTCTTTGTTTAGCTGCGGCCTTCGCAGCTACGTCAGCACTAGCATTGCCCTGTGAGATAGAATCAAGGTTGTTAGTGTGTGCTTATATTTACAGTCAGTAATTTGGGTAGCAACACAGCATTAAGAAGTTCAGCAACAAGGGTGTGATGAGCAATAGGTTTATCTGTGGATGTTAGGAATTTTCATTTGCCCAAAGGCGGCCAAAATCATGTGCCACTCCCCACATATATCTGCTCTCTGTAAAAATGTTCAGTTTTGTCTTGCATATTTACATGCTTCTGACAGTACGACTAACTCTGCTGTCTGTGCAGAGTAATGTGTGGGAGTGGGTTTGCCATAATTGTGTCATGCAAGGCTATGATTGCAAAACCTGCTAGATTTTTACCAGTTGCTGGGTTTCTTGAGGCTGAGCTGTCCACAAACAGTTCCAGATCTGCATTGGTCAAAAGTGTAACTTTTAAATCTGGCCTGGTTATTACTGCAACACAGTCATGCAGCTTTCCATCATTTGGAGTTGGGAGGAGATTAGCAGAGTTAATGACAATGCATCTTGTAACTGTGATGTTTGGCATGTCAAGCCGCACAGTGTTGTACCTCAGTCACCTTGCTGCTGAAAGATTGGATGTTTTTTGTTTGAGCAGAATTATTGACACTTAATGTGGAAGTCAGGTCAGCGTAACCAACAATGTCACATAATGCTATCACAGCCTTTTCTGCAGCTGCTCTAGGGCAGTAACGGCAGGAATGGTTTGAAGCGCGTCAATTTGTTTGGGTGAGAGGGTTTTGCCCTCTGCTGTGATCACATGACCCAGGAAGATGACCTTGCAAACTTGCAAGCTTGCAAACCAAATCAACTGTCAGACTTGGAACATTTGGTGCATGTGCGTGGGTTGCAGCATTTACTGCTTGCAAAT